ATATTTAATTTAACATATTGATGGCACCTGTAAATTAGTGTGTTTCATGCACAATCAAGTGAGAATACACCATTATTACTAAAAATCTCCCCGGAAACCCTTCAACAGATTTGGTGTCAGTGTTTCTAATATGTCAAACGAAGCCACGAAGGTATTTAACTCGATTGATTATATCATAGATGTGTGTTGTTATACCCGGTCTCTGAATTACTGATATCAGTGCTAATACATTGTTTTAGAGGACCCGCTGCGTAGCTACATATAATGAGTCCCCAGAACTTAGTCTTGTTTTGCTGTGTGGGCACCATTATTATATTTTATTTTCATAAGCACCGTTCCATCCATATGAACTGTGACCCAAATAGCTACTAGAAAAATCAGAGCCGGTTGAACTTCCATGATGTCAAGTCTCTGGAATACAGAAGCCATTGCACTTTTGAGTTAAGCTTGCTTTGTGTGTCGGCGTCTATAGTCCTAGCAGGCTATGGCTTCACCCAGTCATACATAAGAAATAAAATAATTGACATAATTTGTGGCAATCTAGAGGAAATCAAATATGCTTCTAGTTAGCTGAGAACATTTTATTCAATCTTCTAAAAACTATATCTAGCGTTTATTCATCTTTTTACAACAGAGAGGCACAAACGGATCAATAAATTTGGTGGGTCATACACATGTACAATTATACCATCCCTAGCTGCTTTTAGACTTTTCAGATCTGTCGGTAATTAAAATGTTCAATTAAAAGAATAATGATCCAAAGGAACGAACACATCAATAACTTTCTAACGGACAACCAAATCAAAGTACTGAATTCGGGTGAGAAACACTTTATTCGCAAAGAAATGATGAAACTTTAAGCACCACTAACTAGCAGTCAGCGAATGACCTTGAACGCACCAATCACATGAAGGAGGCATTTTTGGGTATGGAATACATATACATACACTTTAGCACAGCAGTATCAATAGAAAAGTCAAACCACATCTTATGCATATACTCAGCCAAATGACTATAAATGACATCGCTTTGCGACTCAGTAATGGCTTTAATCCTGTTTTTAACCTTCTCAATAGATTGGTTGAGTCTTTGGTGAATACATCCAAGGGAAATATATAAATATATACATATATTCAAAAAATACAAATGAGTAACTACGTTTTACTATTAAGAAACAACAACATGGAAATTTCAAGAAGTCAGGAAGTAACATCAAGTGCTCAAAGAACAATTTCGACGGAAATTAAGAGCTAATTGTGGACGATTTGAAAATTTTGTACACGACTACAGATGCGAACCAGATAAGCTGCCATATTTAATTGAAAATTTAAGCACACTACAGTAAACTTGAGTATTTCAGGAGAAATCTCGCACAGGTGCCCTGACAAATTCGGGCACGTGACGTTATCCCGACGACTTCGGAAGCGTAACACGCACCGTAAAAGTTTAGGGAAACAAAATTGTGTGGAGCACAATTAATTTGGCATTAGAACATTTTGGCACAATACAGACATTTGATGATGTAAGATAGTTGGAGGCAATCGGCAGGAAGCCTTCCACCTAGGTTTCGTGCCAGATGGCTCTCATCAGCAAGGCGTATCTGCAACCTTGAAGGAACTCCCTTCTGAGATTCGCACCCACGTCACCCAGTGCTGCAGTCAGAGACGTTACCACTGAGCTATTCGGGATCGCCTTGCTGATGAGTGTCAACTGGCACGAAACCTACGTCTAAGGTTTCCTGCCGATTGCCTCCAACTATCTAATATCATCAAATCAATGTGCACCGTGATGGCTAGCCACCTAGAATGGTGGCCACATTGCAAAACCTGACTGATAAAATTCAGTTTGCACCAAAGAAAGGACTAGACACGTCACACTAGTTACTAGTGTCCAATCAAAATACAATACATACATTTTGAAAAAAAACATTCTGTAGGCACTTACGTCTGCAAAGAAAGAATTCGCCTAAATTGTGTTTATTTTTAAGTTTACTGGGGAGAGTGTGTATACTGTAAATTCTTAACCGATTTTAATAAAAATCACAGGGCTCATTGTAGATACTACTGATATTATGACTGAATCTTTTGCATTATCAAGTATGCACTCAGTCTGTAGTGAACACAGTAAACAGGGAAGGCTGAGTGTAGGGCTAGCAAAACTACCTCGTAAAAACAACACCATCGATACTGAAACTTGAAGCCTTGTTTTACTCAGGGTGCAAAGCAACGAAAAAACGAGTAAAGAAAGCCCCCCACTACAACTACATGTTAATGCTTTGGAATCATTAGAGACACTTTAATATTTCCAAGAAAAATTCTTGAGAAAATACCTTCAAACAGCTTCTACCAAAATGGTAACTACTTGACACTTTCTGAGAGGAATCGCCTTAACTCACTGTAGACTCAGTCCCATAGAATCTGCTGATTCACCACACACAGCGCACTGTATATCTCTCGAAGATTTTGATCACTACTTTTGAGATCCCCGAGGAAACTTCAAACAATAACAGAAACATATCTGAGACATACTTGGTATTGATAATCTTCTTGAAATTCTTTGAACTCATAATGGGCAAATCTACAGCACTGTAGACATTGATAAACTTAATCTAAATATCCCGATTATGAGGATTACAGAACATGTTCTCGGTAATTTCCCATCAAGCTTTACAGTTACACAACAAATTATTATTGTCAGTTAGTGAGAAGTTTGTTTTTTGTGGAATAACTTAGAAATTCTCATTGAGTCATATAAAAGAAAAGGCAATCAGCGAAGAGTTACACTTTTCGGCGATATCAATCTCAAGCTGTACAATCGCATTTATATATTAAATTATCTAAGCAACAAAAGGAATATTTCCAAACATGAGTCACTGGAGTTGTAGATTTTTAGATAATGGATTACGCAATACTGAAGAGCGTTAATCGATTGGAAACTACAATAACATTATTGGAATCGCAAATTCTATTAGATAACAAATTCCATTAATTGTTCAGAAACTAAAATTACGTTAAATAAGCATGCTGCGTGATGCAGTTCGATTTACAGGATAGAGTAGAGCTCAGCTAAAATTATAAGTGAACAAAATTCGAGTTAACATCAGTGGTAATAAGAAGTGGGGGAAAAAGTCTTATACAACTAAGAAACAAAACAATTAAGAAAAAGACAAAACAAAATTACGTGTTCAAGTGTTGGTTTGCAGGGATTTGATTGGTTTCAGGATTTCATCACGAACTGAGAAATTTATTTAGGTATTTGACCTGTTTCGTGTTTGATAGCTGACTGATATCAGTTACAGAATCTCAGGAAACCAGGGAGTACTGGACATCAGTTTCGTCCTAGCCTGGGACTCTTCATAGTGGGTGCCTACTAACGATGATTCCCACATTCGGAAGAAAGAGCTGTCCAATACTCCCTGGTTTCCAGTGGTTCTGTAACTGACATCAGTCCGAAATCAAACATGAAACAGGTCAAATACCTTATAAAAACTCTTCGAAATTTCTCAGTTCATGATGAAATCCTGAAACCAATCAAATACCTGCAAACCAGCACTTGAATATTATTCTGATGCTTACTTATGACTGGCCCTATTCAGGTAGGTATTTACCTGGGCCCTAGTAGGAAGTGGTTGGTGGGGTACAGCAGGTTGGGTGTGAAGAAAAATACTCGCCGCTAATGACATTCGTTGGCGGTCGCGCCATATGATGAATTAATGGAATTTGGAATTCATGGATCGGGTCCCAGTGGCTTGATGGTTTATGAGCTCGCCTAGTAAACAGAAGGTTTTGAATTCAAACTCTTATTGTGGGTGCGTACTGATGAGGAGTGCCGAAATAGGACAAAACAACTGTCCAGTACTCCCAGGTTTCCCAACGGTCCTCTAATCGTTGTCAGTTCATGATGAAATCCTGAAAATTACATATTTGGTATTAAGATACGTAGAAGCCCACTGTGGGTTTAATGACACAACTTATATATATAAAACGATTAATTCTAATATTTTACAGTCAAACTGGTCCTTAAGAAAATAATCACCTAATGCGTTTTAAATTGCTCATTTAACAGTTGATAACTGAATTAGTTTCAACATTAAACTTTGCCCAGAAGTGCAGCAGTTCAAGTCGTCACGCTCCATAAGCACCTAAGGACAGAGAGAAGAGATTCAAAAGAAATATGACGGGCAGAAGTGTGCGGAAGGAAGAATAATAACATCAGGGTTTAATGGATACAGGAGGCCATAAAGGATGAATGCATCCGGTCCACTGTTAACGATTTCGAGCCATAACACCAAAAGTCGCCAGACAACGGTTCTTAGCATCTCAGTGACCCTACCCAACCAAGTAATTTACATTTCACTGCATGACCATATTTTGATTTGATAACACCTTACTCTTTTCTAAACTATTCCACTGTCAGCTAATATCGCCCATCGAGGAAGGTGATAGCTCGGGATGCACAACACGTATCCTACACATCTTAATCGATTCACCTTCAAAAATTCATCCTTAATATAACACACCATACTATACTACTTAACACGGGAGGTAGGACGCAAATATCTGCGATCAAAGACAGTTAGTCTCTTCATGTCTTCCATTTTCAGTGATCAAGTCTCACAGCCATAAAGTGCGACGGAGCGAACTGCTGCGCAGTACATACGTCGTTTGACCGGTAGCCAAATACTGCGTCTACACCTGAGATGATATAATTTGGTAAGTGGCATATGAGTCTTTCGTTTCCGTGTTGAGATTTCATCAACAATCTGTAGATTAGGGTTGATACAAACTTCCACCCGATAATACATGAAACAGATTTCCTGATATAAGGTATCGGGGATTACTAATGGGTTGATGATATTTAGTATTTGCTTGGTAGGACTACAATCATAACAGATATCCTCAACGGGATTTTATTTAGTTTGATGTCTCCTTCCCAAAGGGGTTTTGAATAGTTCGAAACATCATAGTAGCTTGAAGAGAAAACTGATCACGATAGGCATTGGCAGAGCAAGTTGTTTATTTTCAAAACATTAACTTGCAAACAATTTCAGTGATTTCGTAAAGAAAAAAGATAGACAAAGTGTTTTAAAAAGTGGCAGCTGCAAGTAATATTTTTTTCTTTTTTGATAATAATTACAGACTACATTTCACATGCCGGTGGGTGAAATAAAATTATGAACAAAAAAATAATCTAAAGAAAACAAACAGTTTCTATGATGAAAAAAAATATGCAGTAAGATAAGAGATTGAGCAGATGTGTGTATCTGATGCAGAAATTGACTAATATCATCTGAAAATAAACAAAACAAAAATGAAAAATATTCTTTATTTAGCTAATTCATTTCACACAAAAATAATGTCAGAAAGGCTCGTATTATTTAAAAGAGTGACAATGTTTGTGTATATCTACGAGTTCGAATGCCCTTCTGGAAGTAGTTACATTTGGTGTACAATTGTAACGATAGAAGACAAGGACCAGGCAACAGGTCGTTTATTGAGAAAATCAAGAAATATTTGTAGATTTTTATGTACATTACTGTTAGTGGAGAAGCAATATCTTCTGGTGGGTCGTTTTCTTGCCAAAGGTTATTCTGTACTGCTTGTGACCGTTTCTCAGAAAGTTAAGCCATATATCTGCGAATCGTATTTGCACACATCTAGTCTGCTGTGATTGGCTGGTTACCTCCTCAAGGTTAAGCTTTGTTATTGTTTTTTCTCATGAACCCGATTCAGGACGTGAACATTGACGTGAATTGTTGTCTACAATTTTGACTTGTAGACAGATCTTACCACACAATTAGGAATGTTCACCATTGGACATACAAGGTCTATTCGCAGCTATGCCCTAATGCACCTTATAGACAGTGAGCATAACGTTGATGTTAATAAAGCATTTAAAGTTATTTATCATTTTCCAAACAATATTAATTTTGCTTTACGAGTTCGTCTACTACATACAGATGAGATCATTGGAATTCATACGAAAAATTCAAACCTATCTATGTGCTTAGAAGAAGTTTCTGCAGCCACTTCCTTACCATGGGCATGCTTAGACGTGTGTACAAAGGTGACAATTCCCCCCACCACCTTAAACCACTTAGAAGTTATCACTGTTAAAATTATTTTGCTAATCAGCCTACTTCATATGCAACTCTTTATCACTTAATCAGTCCGAACGCACTTATTTCTTAATTACTCGTCCTATAATTTTTTTCAAAATTATACATTATATAATTCACTTGTTTGATTTTTGCGAATACTCCTATCGCTTATTTATTGAATTGGTCTTCTTTTGGTTAGTTATCACCACTTTGCCATATTCATATTGATTTTCGAGTTTACCCACGGACTGATATCAGATAGAGAATCATTGAAAACTACGGAGTATTGGACAGCCGTTTCGTCCCAGTTCGGGACTCACCAGCGCGCTAAAATTACGAATCTTTAGGAGTTAGAATTCATGGGTCAATGAATTGGGTCCCAGTGGCTGAATGGTATAGGAGTTTGCTTTGCAAGTGGAAGGTCCTGGGTTCCAAACCCAATTGGTGCACACTTATGATGAGTCCCGAACTGGGACGAAACAGCTGTCCAATACTCACTGGTTTTCAATGGTTTTCTAACTGATATCAGTCCATAGGCAAACTTAGAAAACAAATTAAATCCTTACAAATCAACTCTCGAAAGTATTGATACTGACTAATCATTGTTAACAAACTTATCACAAACAGTGACTCCATTATGGATAAGATTTTATTTTGATAAATCACACAGTGTTACACAGTAACATTAACTGATGACGTTTCGAGCACAAATTATTGCTCATAATCATATCAAGTTGTGTGTGTAACAGAATACTTACTTTCCATCTCTATGATCCTCTTCTTTTTCTGATTTCTTCTGTTGTAAACTTTTCATTATAAGTGAGGGATAGAATTTATGAAATAAAACAGTAAACAAGAATGAGAATATTTGAAAATGATGCACTTATCCAATGGAAACGAAGAAACTGCCACATGAAATAATAATAGATTTAAGGGATTTCCGAACATCATCCTGCGTGGTTAAGTAAAGGACAAATAAAATACATTCATAGCTCTGTTCTATCTCATCTTGTGGATACAGAACATAAGATTGATGTTAACAAGGCGGCTTTCAAAGTCATCTACCACAAACCAAGTAATCTTAACTTTACCTTAAGAGTCCGTCTACTACAATATTGCTGAGTCTAGCTGTTGGGATCCACATTAAGAAACCTAATTTATGTATCCAAACGAAGCTGACTCAGACACTGTCCATATTTGGCCATCAAGGTTCTAATGATGCTCAATTTGTTGTAGAAATTTCCTTAATTTTATTTGCTATTATATTTTTATGCTTATTATAATTTATGCACCTTTAGTGAACTGTAATTCCATTGATCTCACTTAACAAATCGATAGTATTTAAAAAATACCAATATTGTTAATGACAACTATTCTAGAGTATTCCATGTTGATATAAGATGGTTGGAGCCGATCAGTAGGAAGCCTTCGACCTAGGTTTCATGCTAGTTGGCACTCTTCAGTCAGTGAGGCGTATCTGCAACCAACTTGAGGGAACTCATGCCCCTTCTGAGATTCGAACCGGCATCACCCAGTGCCGCTTGCAGTCAGAGACGGTACCACTGAGCCACTTGGGCTTGCGACTGACTTCCTGTAGGACTGACTGACTGTATTGGATACTTTAATTGGACACTATTAACTAGTGCGATGTTTCTAGTCCTTTATTTGGTGCAGATTGAAATCTACCAGTTAGGTTGGCAGAAGGAACGCGAGTTCCTTCAAAGTTGAAAATACGCCTTGCTGACTGGTGAGTGCCAAACAGCAAGAAACCTGGGTTCAAGGCTTCCTGCCGACTGCCTCCAACCATCTAATATCAACAATTCACAGTGCACCATGATGGTGAGCCATCTAGAATGATGACCACATTACAAAACCTGACTGATAGAATTCAGTTTGTACCAAACAAAGGACTAGGCACATTACACTAGTTACTAGCGTCCAATCAAAATATTCCATGTATGTAAACATATGTACATATAACTGTAGAGCCAGAAGAAGAAATTATCGAAGAGAATATTCTTTGTTCAATTTTTGTAAAGTGCTAAAATTGTCTTTTTTGTTTGTTATTACTATTTAGAAGACGAAAACTTGAGTGAAGAAATATTTACTCTACAGTTTGATTCCCTTCAACAGTCTCACAACAATATTCATATAGCATTTTTAATACACTTTGCCATTTACCAATCTAGTGGTAATAAGCTTGATTACAAAAGTAAATAACTGACTCCTTTATTCATATTAACGTATTAAATGTGTGTTTGTACGAATATTTAGAAAATCAGCAAAGTCTTGTTACGTTGATTGCTCTTTTTTAAACGGCATTCTTTAGGCGTTATTTTATAGCTTCACAAGTAATATCTCCTACGAGGTTGTAATTTTTCAGGACATCAGCTTCCATGAAGCTGTCGAAATACTGACTTTGTTTCGGCGACAAATTCCCTGAGCAACTGACGTATCATCTTATGCTCCTCATTGAGATAATCATTTGAATGAACCAAACACTCTAATGAATTTCGTTTATATATCTCAAAGGCATAAAACTCGAGAAATGAGTACACTGACCTGTTGATGTCGGTTTTCTACATATATTCCTTTTTTGTCTCTCAGTGGTCTAAACACTGTTATTTTATTTCTGGATGCCGAAAATTTATTACCCAGGGTACGTCATTAAACTTGTTCCAGATGGTCATTCTTATCTGTATAATCTGTGTTACGGTGATAAAATTCTAACTCACTGAGCACATCTTTGGAAGGTGAATTTTTAAATTCCTTTTTGTCCATTTCATACTTCCTGAGCAAAACATGCGGTTTCAAGTTTGAACTCCCTCTAGCGGTGGTTTTTTTTACGGGATCGGGCTGATACCCTCGTGCTCAACCTTCCCCTTTTTTACTGGGTTTACTGCCGGTTAAGCGAGATTTAGGGGTGTGTCGGCCGGGAATCGAACCCGAATGCTAGTAAATCTATTGCTACTAGAGAATTACTAACCGTTAATTATGCATAATGCATTATTTTTTGCCGATGCTCTGTTAGGTATAAATAGAAATATTCTAATCTGACTTCAACGAACTGATCGATAAAACCACTGACTTTGATACCACATAACTCAAGTTCCAATGATACCGAGAACATGAGTTTCATCAAGGTTAGTGATAATTTTTCATTAGCATGTGCGACAACGGCACATGTCAAGTGATCCACAACGGAAAACTCAGCGAAGCGTTTGGAGTAAACACAGGAGTCAAACAAGGGTGCTTATTATTACCAATGATATTCCTAATTGTGGTGGACTGGATTATGCGTCAGACAGTGGGAAACGAGAAGACAGGGATATCCTGAACCGACGTGAAGAACCTAGAAGACCTGGATTTCGCGCGTGGATGATTTATGTTTGTTGTCACATAAGATCGAAGACTTACAAGCGAAAACCGACAAACTGGTCGAAGGAGCAGCAAAGACAGGACTCCAGGTGAACATAGACAAGACGCAAGTTATGAAAATAACCAACCAACCAACAACAAGAACAACAGCAGCAACATCCAGCGCCAATCACCATCAACGGAAGGGATTTGAAAGAGGTTACTTCATTCACTCATATAGGGAGCATTGTCTCAACTACAGGAAGAACGGACGAGGATGTCAAATCGAGAGAGAATCGGGAAGGCGAGAAACACATTCATCAACCTCAAACCAATCTGGAAATCTTCCCCCGTCACTCAGCCTGCATCAACAACAAAATTCGGATTTTCAATACAAACGTCAAGTCAGTTCTTCTATACAGATCAGAAACTTGGCCAGTGTGTCACAAAGAATATTTCCAACAGCCTGTTGCAGACCTTTATCAACAACTGTCTTCGCTGGCTCTATACTGAAGATCAGATGGCCGGAAAGAACAAGAACCAACAAGAAACTATGGGAACAAACAAAACAAGAACCAATCGTTCAAGAAATATGCAGGAGAAAGTGGAGATGGATTGGACACTCACTGAGGAGGCCGCTGGATGACATCGCGTCTCAGGCCCTCCAGTGGAACCCGGAAGTGAAGCGGCGAGTGGGACGTCGAAGAGTGACATGGAGGAGATCGTGTGAAGAGAAGTTAAGGCAGTATGGACTAACATGGGTGCAGGTGAAAAATGTAGCAGAAGACAGAAGCAAGTGGAGACGTGTAGTTGAAGCCCTATGTTCCACTAGGAACCCAAGGGAATAATAATAATGGAATCTTTCTAATACACCTACCACTAGGATAGACTGTACCGCTTAGCTTAATGGGGCACGGATTTTATGCAGTATTATGAACTTAAAAGACTTTGGAGATATACACATACCTCCAAAGTACACTGGAAAAACTAAGGTTTATATTTTTTTCAAATGACTACTTCTTTTTAATGAAATAATATCTGAAAATGCATTCAGACATAGATAAAATCATTATATAATTTCACAAGTTACAGCGAATCAGTTGTTTATGTCGAAAATGGCTTGTAGGCTATCACTCAGTATCAGAGTTGAGCTAAACACATCATTAGTAAAGACAGAGAGGCATTCGATTTTTTGAGGAAAAAAACAAACAAACTTGAAAATATTTAAACGGAAGACACTATTTAAAAAAACAAAACTTACTGATGATTTCTAGGCATATTTTGTTCGAAATACGCTCGAAAACGCCAATCAGCATATCGTCTGCTATTATATACAAATAAACAAAAGCTTTCTTATTGACAAGTTAGGGAGGGATATTTGCAGTGTTATCAATAAATTAAAAAAAATCGAACTTGACAGATGGCTGACCAACATGTAATCAGTGGTATTACCACTGGATGCTTATTTCATACTAGATTTGTCTGTGTATATGTTCCAATTTATTGAAATACGACTGAACTGATAAGTTATCAAAAGTAAGCCTAATCTTTTGCCATTCCCCTTGAACCTATTGCAGTTAAGTCTTTGAGTCTAAAGTGAGTGACACAGTTTAATCACTTCAGTAATTTTAATCTGCGAGCATTATATTATTATGTCCTTGAGTTCAGAGTACCTTCAACAGCACGTCCCCAATTCACTGGGTTTTTTGACTCCACGATTACGCATAAGTCTTCATCTCTTCTTCATACGATCTCCTCCATGTCATCCTCAGCGACACACGCTCAACTCACCATTTTGAGATTCGGGTTCTCCTCGACCACGTGGCACATGATTTCACTCAATGGCTTCCTCAATGAATCTCCATTTTCTTCGGCATAATTGTTGAGCTCTAGCTTCTTGGTTGGTACATCACCAGAATTCCTAGTTGCTTATATCCTTCTCGATGTCCTCTATCGAGACAGCGAATGCACCTAGCTGTTGACGAAGGTTTTCAGCAGGCAGTTGAAACAGTTTTGGTGGCATAGCAGCCAAATATGTGAACTGTGTATAATAGAATAATCTTGAAATTCGTTTTGAAAATTTGGATTTATTTTGTATTGAGTACAGTAGATTTCCACACTGATTTCAGAGTAATGCACCTCTGTTTTACTTTCCCGATTCCGACTAGCTGACTGTGACATCCTAATCCGTGGCGCCTGCAGTTCATGAGACGCTTTGCGTGTGGGCAATTCAGTTTGAATTAAGTTTTCATAAATTCAAAAAAATCCCAAGATATATGTTAATATATGCTCACAGTGTTCATTCACAAAGATATAAACTTCTAGGAATGACTATTGATTGTAGGATAATTTTATTTGTTAAAAAAAAACACAATGATATAGTCAAGTATTGGTTTGTAGGGATTTGATTGGTTACAGGATTTTCATCATGAGCTGACATTAGTTAGAGAACCAGTGGGAAACCTGGGAGTACTGACAGCTGTTTCGTCCTGGTCTGGGACTCTTCATCAGTACGCACCCACCGGGATTCGAACGCAGGACCTTCTGGTTACAGTGATATAGTATTATTTATTTACTAATACAGTTGCAAGCATAATTTATCACTCATAATCATATCAGGGCAGTCACTTAACTTTCCAGCTTTGTTTACATATTTCAATTATTTTTAATCCTTTGTTTTGTATTGACAATAATACTTTGTGTATCTATCGTTTCGGTGTAGCGAGATTCCTATAACATGTGTTTGTTATGCGTGGATTCGATGAACAAAAGATTCAGTAATCAAACTATCCCTCCATCTACAAATATATATATATATATATATATATAGCTTTCGAACCGTAGCTCTGTCCCACCCTATTGTGTAATTGTGTATTAATGCATGCAGTGTAATCGCTAAGTTTTTTTTCTAAATTGTTTATCTCTGCAGAATCAATCATTCTAACTTTAGCTAAATTCCCACGTTCTGATAATCTCACTACACCTGATATACTTATCTGACCTATGTAGTCGATCTGACAATCGTTGCAAGGTATTTTGCAGACTAAATTATTTAACCTAGTTAGATTAATAGGATCTTGTAGATTTTTATTTTTTATTTGGTGTGTCTCAGTAGCGTATTTATCACTTCTGCCCTGTGACACGGCAGCAGGAAGCGCGGTCGTTGTTAATCCGGGCCCCGACCGATCCGGCATGATATTTTCTTCTACTTTCTTCTCTTGCTTTGTGCGCTACATGGAGTGTAGCGACTTGAGCTGCCGCACATATGTGCAAAGTTCTATGTCGAAAACCGACCGACCGACCGACGATCTTGTAGATTTAAATACCACCGTGATTCCTATTTTATAAACAATCCTAGGTAGGATTTCAGAACCCTCCTTTCTCTATATATATATGGTAAAACTTCTATGATTATGAGCAGTAAAAACAACTCGATACGTTATCAGTAAATAATACTTTGTCAGTGTGTGTTTTTATCAAATAAAATTATTCTATGATGGGGTTATACTCTGCCACAATCTTCATATTCTATTCTTCTATAAATAATTATTCATTCAAAAGTATCATACGAAAAATAGCCACAGACTTGTCTTATAGACGGTTTCAAGAGTTCTGCTATCCACTTAGGGACATAATGATATGAAAGTCCATAAATTTGGAATATCAATTTGTCTCATTTTAGACATGTCAGGTTCACCGTATCATTATGTAGCTAAATGTATTGAAGAACTCTTGGAACCATTAACACGGCAACTATGCAGCTATTCGAAAAAAATTATATTTGTAAAATCTCAGAGAAACTGAAATGATTAATTCCAACGTCTCGTTCGGCAGTCTGGTCCGAACTTCTTCAGGGAAATTAATCGAATTAACATAACAAAGGTTTATATATCAAAAGACATCTCTTGTATGTAAAAACTTTGTCCAATCATATGAGTCATGAAACAGGTATCAACATTGAATTGGGTTCCAGTGGCTGAATGGTATACGAGCTTGCCTTGTAACCCGAAGGTCCTGGGTTTCATCCCTGATGGTGAGTGTGTACTGCGGATGATTCCCAAACCAGGATGAAACAGCTGGTTGTCCAGTACTCCCTGGTTTTCAATGGTTCTCTAACTGATATCAATCCGTGATCAACTCGCAAAAACAAAACTAACCCTTAAAAAACCAACTATAGAACACAAATCTTCATATTCAGTTATCTACGACCATGAACTTTTAGTTTAACGTAATCTGATCAAAAAGTGCACTCTGTTTAAATTGTTTAACAAAAGTAGACTAATTTTAAAAGTCTGAGGTCAAATTTTGATCACAATTCATACAATTTTGTTTATTACACATGTTGATACCTGTTTGTTGATTCATATGATTGGACAAAGTTTTAACAAGCAAGAGATGTCCTTTTATACATAAACCTTTGTTGTGTTAATTTCGATAAATTTCTCTGAAGAAGTTCGGATCAGATTGCAGAACGAAACGTTGGAATTAATCATTTCAATTTCGCTGAGACTTTACAAATATATTTTTTTTTACAAATATCTACTTCCCACTCGGCGCCCAATTATTTTGGAACTATTCAGTCAAATCTTGATCACAGTTCATATGAATTATGTAGCGCTATTCTTTGTATGAAACTTTTGACTTTATTAATTACGTTAATGTTAATGGGAAAACCACGTTATCAGTTGATGCATACTCGTTGTTTACTAGTATCCATTAAATAAAACAGTATGCTTCATTCGCAGTTATATCTACTTACATAATGTGACAAATAGGAATGCCTATATCATACCTAAAACAGCTCATCACACTTCAATGTACACATTAAATGTTCCAATAATTATTCACTTTGATATAAAATGGTGTGCGTCGGTGGCATAGCGGTTAGGACGCTCACCAACCATGGACATGATTCGGGGTTCTATCCCCGGCCGACACACTCCTTTAACTCGCTAAGCCAGAAATAATGCTGGTGAAGAGAAAAAGTTGGGCATGAGGCTAGCAACCCCATCCTGTAAAATAAACAGAAACTTCAAGTCACTAGCTTGAAGCCGTATGTTCCACTGGGGAACGTGAAGGAAAAAATATATATAACGGTAAATATCTATGATGTACTTCTGAAATAATACGTCAACAATTTGACAACGATATTGATTTTTTAAAGTGATTAAATGAAAAGAAATGAAGTGTAAGTCAACAACCGGTTGCAATACCATGCAGTTGGCAATGAGACACCATGTGTGTGCGCGAGAGAGAAAGAGGGCTAGTGATACTACCCAGCTGCTCAAAAACCTCGGTAGGTGGTGCAGGGTTCGAACCCATGGTCCATTTGGTTGGTAGTCGAGTGCTCACACCAATGAGCCACAGAGCTTATTTACAAACAGTGACTATTAACCCCTTTTCTACTTCAATCAACCACCGACCGAGCAATGAAGATTTGTCTGTGAATCTGTAATTTATTCATCAAGTTGACAATAAGGCACACATAGTTGGGGCAAACCATTCGCAATGAAATCTTTGAGAGAAAAACTCAAACTCAAAGCTGAATAGATCATGTAGAAATAATAATAATAAAAATTAAACAACAACAACTTACTTTCGAAGAAATGTGTACATAGAAATCATATAGGTGAAAAATGCCATTAGCATTGACGAAATTACAATCAATTTTACTATCCTTAGGTCTTCTTGATCATTTACTGCTCGTTTTCGATAATCCATATTACGCCTATCCATTATATAAATAAAAACAAACAGATAAACAAACAATGCATTACTTATAATTAACAGTTAAAATACTTCAAATTTCATCATTAAACCACTTCATTTGAAAAATCATTGAAAACCAGGAGGCGTCAGTTCTGAACTCTCCAGAAGTATGAATCCATCACCCCAACACAAAGAACCCCGAAACCTTTATGTCACAAGGTGGGCTTATTGACCAGTGATCCAATGGTTCATGAATTCTAACTCCTATCAACGAGCTTATGTTGTAAGCCCTGAAGGTCCTAGGATTGATCCTTGGTGGTATTGAACAGTCTCAAACTAGGACAAAACAGCTGTCCAATACTTCCTGTTGATTTCAGGCAATATGAAAGTAATGGCAATGATAATCAAAGGTTTTTTGACAGTAGGAGGATCATTAATTGATTTACATAGTATTTTTGTTAGTTATTGAACATCACGACCTTATTTACTGTCGACACCGTAGAAAACTCCTATTTACTAGTTCACTAGCCGGTCGTCAGCTCGAAAAAGTAGGGAGGGATGGGCGTGGGGCAAGCGACACTATCCTGGAAAATCAACCTGATCGCTACAGAAACTTCGAAGCACAGAAAAAAAGTTCAGGAAAAGTTATTTTCCTGTGGGAGACGACACGACGAGGGCTGGTGAAAGCCCTCAAGAAAGCTATCACCTGACGTATCATCAATCGATAAAATGGGAAAGAAGCACGGAGACATAGGATGTACGCACCTTGTTTGAAGCTGGCGAAGATACTTAGACTGCAGAAGAAATGGGAATATATGGTATATAAATGATAGGTATCTGTGAGAGCAGATGAAATGGAAGAAGATATTCTAAATTGTTAATTGAAGAGTAAATAAGCTACTCCAGTCACTGAAACGACAACCACGAATACACTGACAGAGAGTAGCTATCATGATGTCACCAACAGCATCGAAAACTCTCATCCAGTGGAAGCTAATCTATTCCCGAATCATAACAGTAAGATTCGATTCAAAAGGAATGAAAGTTGCAATTATGCAATGCCACGCTGCCAAAAACAACGTAGACGAAAAAGAGAAGAAGGATTTCCATAGATATATGTAAACAGTAGTGGACAAAACTTTAAATGGTGACATCAAAATTCTAATGGGTGACATGAATACCAGCCAAATTGGAAGTAGACAACACAGCAAGAGGACCTATCGCGGTTCGAGAAGCTCTCAGTAAAATCAGTGTGGAGATTTACTGTAATCGGTAAAAGCAAAGCAACAAGATCCAAATTTTCAACACTAATGTGAATGCATCTGCGCCAGTGACAACAATTTTGAACCATATCATCAATAATCTTCAGTCATTGATACTTAGCATTCAGAGAACAGCAACCAGACAGTCTACACTTCCGCATACGGTTGGCTCGACTTCATCCACTAATGGCAGATTTTGGTTTGACTAACCCTAACTATTTTCCAACCCAACCTTAAGTCAGCTAACATTGCTCATCAAGCAAGACAATGGCTTGACATGAGCAACATGTTGGCTAGTCATCTCAAACGAAGTAACTTCAAAACGTCCATCGATTGACGGACACCACCGTTGAATGTTGATTGACTTAATATCGATAAAGAGAATGTATCACAATTAATTATGGTATTACACGCGCATTTAAAATCTGTTATCTTCACTTCATTTTGATGTGTGTGTGTCAAGAAACATATGTCTAAAACTCAGTGGAATACGAAAAGTAAATTAATAATAATAATAATAAAGGCTGTGAGACCTGGCCATTGAGCGCGGAAGACATGAAAAGACTAGCCGTCTTCGATCATAGGTGTCTGTGTTCTATCTCCCGCGTGAAGTGGTATGATAAGGTGAGCAATATTTAGGTTAGGCGTCGAGTGCTAGGTAAGGAGGGGAAATCAGTCGACGAAACTGTGAAATTACATCGACTGAGATGGTTAGAACATGTGTTACGTATACCTAGTCATCGCCTTCCTCGACATTGAGCAATGTTACCTGATATAGGGCCAGGCTGGAAAAGAGCTAGCGGCGGTCAAACGAAAACTTGGCACCAGTCAATGAAATCCACAACAGTTAGTCTAAGCCACGTAGGAAGGTGTAGACTTTCTGGTTGGCGTCCTCGGGACGGTAAAAACCAATGGTTGGAAACAATTGATGACATGGCTCAAAATCGTTCTCAGTGGTGGGTGCAGATGCATCCACTCCTTGTGACTTATAATTTCCAGTTAAACTGTTTTGTTCTTTGTTATTACTATACCTTTGTCTCACACCTCTGTTTACTGTCTATATTATGCATTTCTCCTACTTTCTTCCCTTGCTTTGTGTGCTACATGGAGTGTGGCGACTTGAACTGCCGCATATACGTGCAAATTTCTATGACGAAAACAGACAAACAATAATAATAATACCAATTAACCTTACCTACGTAAAATATATTCATACGCCCCAGTTGTTCTATCATCATAATCACTCGATGGATTATTATAATTATAATACGGTGATGGTTTACCACTAGACGATGTTAAAGTGGCATCATATATCCGTCTAGTTTTCTCTTGTGATAGAACAGAATAAGCTTCATTTATCCTTTTGAACATTTCACTATCACCATGATATTTATCCGGATGATACTGCACAGAGATTAAAAATAATATATGTTATGTATGCACAATTTTGTTTTTCTCTTTAAAATACCTTTTTTGATAGTTCAATAAAAGCTGAACGAATTTCACTGGGACTAGCTGATTTTTTCACTCCTAATACATCATAATGTGTTTGAGATGATAGAAAACGATAAGCCTGATGCATTGAACCGAAAAGCATTTTATTGCTTCGATAAATATGTTTAATCATAGATGAAAGATTAGTTGATGAACAAAAACACGAAAAACGATGACAATAATAAGTAAGTTGGCATGTTAAGGCTTATCTAAAAGGAAAAAGAAAGAATTCTCTGATAAAAGAAAGATATTTAAATAATCATATAAAATAATAATCACACGAATTCAAAACTTCCGTTTTATAGTTTTCTTTATTCCCTCCTTTTCGTCGTCATCGTCCACGCAGTAGAATTTTCCAGATATCCAGCTGGATGGGTGTTGAATCACTCCTACCTATTACACGTGTTTGCAGTTGATTCGATAAAAATAAAGCTTCCATTACCAGTCTCTCCCCCCACCCTGTTACATTCGATTTTAAAACAGGTATTTTATCCCATCCATCTTAATGTATGTTTGCGTGTAATTGCATGTAGTGAGTGCTATAGCTGAACTATTCTCCAGATTTCTTATCGTATTAGGGTCTATAAATCTGGATTTAGCTAAGTAGTACCAAGGAAAATCTGAGACAGGAAGTAACGCATATAAGAGAAGCTTTGAAACTTAATAATTACACTGATAAATTATTCAGGAAGTATGTGGGAAAATGGAAAAGCAAAATTAATAATAAAAGTTGTGATAGTGATAATAATGACGACATGCATGTCAAACATGTGCAAGACAACACCGACAATAAGGAATCTAAATCATCAGTAGTAATTTCATACAAGGAAGGAACCTCGGAAACCACCGTAAGGAGAATTCTTAACAATGCAGGAATAAAATTAGCATTCAAACCAACAAACTCAATTAGAAACAAGCTTTGTCTGTTAAAAGATCCTGTGGAGCCAATTAAACAAAACAGTTTAGTTTATCTGATATCCTGCAATGATTGTCAGGTCAAAGTAGTAGAATAGAGGCAGTCAGACTAGTGCAGTATAAAAACCTAGCGAGATGTATATTAGTTGACCCGAATAAGATAAGAGCAGTTCAGCTATAGCACTCACTGCATGCAATTACACACAAACATACATTAGGATGGATGGGATAAGATGACAGTTTTAAAATCGAATGTGACAGAGTGGAGGAAGAGACTGGTAACAGAGGCTTTATTTTTATCGAATCAACTGCAAACACGTGTAGTAGGTAGGAATGACTCAACAGCCTTCCAGTTGGATATCTGGAAAATTCTACTGCGTGGACGATAACGACGAAAAGGAGAGAATAAAGAAAACTATAAAACGGAAGTTTCAAAGGTGTGTGATTATAATTGATATGATTATGAACAATGTTGAATTGTGTTCGAAACTTTGTCACTCAGCAAATAATACTGTTTCACTGTGTGATACATCTAATAAACAAATTAAAATGGAATTACATAATACCAGTGCCCAAGTTTTGCACATATATTAAGATATTTAAATAAACCTAATTATCAGAATTACTACATCTGTAATGAACACAAAAAAAGAAATTCTGTCCACTAGACACAGCTACATAAAATCATAGGGAAACCATATACATGTTATATAAATAACACTTCTAATCTATTAACCAAAAAGTTTAAACTAACAGAGATCAATAAAACACAAAATAATTGAGCAAAGAATATCCTTTTCGATAATTTCGATTAATCAAAATAAAGTTGCTTTCTGTGTCCAAAACAAGTTCACTTTTAATAGTATGAAAAAGGTTAGGCATTAGCTAGATGATACTCATTATTATTACTATTATTATTATTATTATTATTATTATTATTAAAGTTTTTGTATTTCCCAATGAACAGAAAACAAAACGATATTGTTTTTGTTTGCCTTTCGTTATTTTAATGCTTCTAATAGCTTTATCAAAGTATTATTTAAACGAGGATTTACAAAATCTCAGCTTATGTAATGCAGGAACTTAATCATCTTTTTTCATTGGGAAATACACAAAAAACCTTTTATGATCAAATTGTTTTTATTGGACAGTAGTTTCATTGAGAAACCCTACTATGGAAACCACAATGAATATGGCTATAAATATCAAATTTAGACTGAGAAATACAAAAAGTGTAGGTTACAAGTACGTATTACTGAATATGGTATAAGATGGAATTCTGTAATTTAAAAGATTATGCGAGGAGACGATTTCTGGGATAAAATAATAAATTCTGAAACTACATCCAACAAGAACATGGTTGCCTATGATATTTTTCTCTCTAAACTTTTGTTAAGTATCAAATTATTGTAAGGCTTAAAATCTTGAAAGTATGCTGGTCATACTGTGGTGAGGGCTGTCTGCAAGCCGAAAATGTAAACAACAATTTACGTCAATGTTTACATCCCGAATTGGGGTCATGAGAAAAAAACAATAACAAAGCCTAATCTTGAGAAACTCACCAACCAATCACAGCAGACTTAACGTGTGCAAATACGATTCGCAGATATATGGCTTAACTTTCTAAGAAACGGTAACAAAGAGATAACAGAATAACCTTGGGCAAGAAAACGACCAATGAGAAGACATTGCTTCTCCACTAACAATAATGCACATAAAAATCTATAAATATTTCTTGATTTTCTCAATAAACGATCTGTTGCCTGGCCCTTATCTTCTATCGTTACAATACTAATTCTTCTGTGATCACCAAAATACAATTCCCTTCCACTTTGATAAAACCTTGACGTAATAGATGAGTTTGCATATCGAAATTATACAAAGAGCCACACTAGCTAGGATGAATGTTACTGAAGAACCTACCATGCCAGAAATGTTGTTTAGATAGTGGTCAGACTAAAGACAGTTAATATTACAGTGTAAGTCGCTCAGACCATATGAGGGGTCTGAAAGTGACGTTGAGTAAGGATGTAAATGCGATAAGGTGTTCCCTTCGAACGATTAATAAGTCAGTCATGCTTTTTTCTGCTCTGAGGATGGTGAAAAGTTTGACATCAAATATTCTACACCCGACTTACTTTGCGACGGTTGGTAGCCAGCACTAAGATCTTCAAAGGGGTACAACTTCAAAAACTATTTCAAACTGTTCGTGTATGACGGGACTCATTCAGTTGTCTTATGAAGTCTGTAGTCACGCAACACTAATGCTGCTTCTTTTTCAGGTACCCCAAGAAGAAATCAACTTCCACAGTTTGGGCACCGGTAATTAGTAGCCTCCTAGACACTTTCATAAGTACAGAATTTCTTGAACATAACCTTTATTTAAATAAAGCAAGAACAACAGCGGTTTGTGCAGAATAATATGGTACCATCATTTATTTCGTCGGCTTCTCATCAGCTGCTTACAGCCTAAATAAATTGTGAGGTTTACGTACAGAAAAGTTTTTTACATACTTGCAAATTTTACATGTTGTCAGTTGACAGAAGGTTCCACAGTAAGTGAACAGTGCTCAGAAAATTGCGCTTATATAGTTTTTTCACAGGCAGTTCAAGTTTAAACAAAATAGATGTATGCATACAATGGTAAGAGTTACGTAATAAAGACGAGAGGTGAGTAAGATGATGAGTAACTAATAAATTTTGTAACGATGTACTGAGTTCAAATCACGTCATAGAAACAACAGACAAGCAATATTACAGATTTTAAAATAAAAATAAAAAAAGGAGGGGTGAGGTTAAAGACAAAGATTACGTAATCAGATTAGAGAATAAAGACATCCAGTTGCCATGGCAAGGAAAGACTAATAACTGCTTCTTTCTGAACACATAAATCTGGTTTGAGGCGTTTGATAGAAATTGCTTCGGCAAACTTGAGGAGAATGGAGCTCCTTTGTCTATTGATAATTTTAAAGGATTTCTCGATTCCCACCTCATGACCCGTGTCGAGGAGATGCCTGGCGATGGCACTGTTTAAAGAATTTGTTCCCTTTAGACGTAAGCTTTCTGGTACATGTTCAGAAAATCGTAGATATGCCCTTCTTTCTGTCCTTCCAATGTAACTGCTCCCGCAGATGCATGTAAATTTGTATATGCAGTTGGAGTTCACATGAGAGGGATATCTATCGATTTTTGATTGCATCAAAGAGCAAGTTGTTTGATAGACGGGAACGAGCTTGGCTGCAGGATAAGCTATAGCTAGTGATGTACTCAGCCTTCTGTTGATCATCGCTGTAATGTTTTCACCTTTATAATCAAGCTGAAAGTAGATTGGCTTTTTTTCCACTGTGATTTGTTTTACATTTTTGACTTCAGATCTTCCATACTTGTTGATGAACCTTTGAGGGTATCCATTTCTCTTCAATGTCTTTTCAAGAAACTCAAATTCTTCCTCTAATTTCTCTATAGAGCATATTCTTCTCGCTCTATAGTACAGAGTCTTGACTAGACCGCGTTTAAAGCTATTTGGACAAAAGCTATTGAAATGTAAGTATTGTCCTTTCCATGTAGGCTTTCGATAAATTGACTTTTGAAGACTACCGTCTTCTAGGCGTTCCATGGCAATGTCGAGGAAGTGAAACTTTCCGTCACTTTCATGTTCCATAGTAAACTCAATATTTCTGTGTGCATCATTGAATAATCCGAGTAAGTGTGAAGCATGACTTTCACTGTTGCACACTATAAATGTGTCATCAACATATCGACAGTAGGAATTTGTTTCGTCGATTGTATGCTTCAACTTTGTTCTTTTAAGGTTGGACATGAATATATCTGCTAAAACAGGGCTAAGTGGACTGCCCATAGCTACACCATCAATTTGGCGGTAAAGAGTGTTGTCAAATTGGAATTGCACATCCGTGCACTGTTCACTTACTGTGGAACCTTCTGTCAACTGACAACATGTAAAATTTGCAAGTATGTAAAAAACTTTTCTGTACGTAAACCTCACAATTTATTCAGGCTGTAAGCAGCTGATGAGAAGCCGACGAAATAAATGATGGTACCATATTATTCTGCACAAACCGCTGTTGTTCTTGCTTTATTTAAATTCATCAACGGGAATAAATGCATGAAGTTTCCCAAACATAACCTTTATGTTCTTTCTTTCCTCCCACAGGGAGTTCTCTCACCTTCTCTTAACTCTCAAACCATTAATATCGAACAGTGTCAGAAAAACACTTCTGACAGTTTCAAAGTGGAATGTTTAATGTCACTAAACCTTTTCCAAGTCAAACAATACCCCTCAATAGCCAGGAATTTTGTATCTTTGGACAGACAGGCTAAGGTGCATAATTCGTAAGTGATAATACTTGTATATATCTTTTAAAGACCTCCGATTACGCCAAAAACGACTGCAGTTAGAAATAAGTAAGGAATGAGTTCTATCAAAAGCTGTCTGGTTTGCTGTAGAAGGTAAAACGCTAAGACATGATCATTTTAACAAGTCATTTCGATGCTCAACTTGGTGATCTGTGCTAATTGGAAAAATATATTGGTGGCACCTATGGATAATCATGTTGACGGATTGAAAACAGTAATTGTCTTCTAAAGTTTTGTTCAAATAATCACCTGTATTTCGTCAGCACTCAATTCAAACAAAAGAAGAGACACTGCCTAGTCTGGAGACTTTCATGTTCAAATCAGCGATGAACTCAAGCAGACCACATAGATATAGTCCATAAATGGAGAGGGTGAGTAGAAAACTGTCGTTCATTCTGGAACACCTGTGTAGACTCCAGTCACACCCTGGCCCGTGCACCTCTATACATACAACTAAACGTACATAGGAAGCACGTAGCGATGAAGCTCCTACGCCCCAGCTGCTTGATGAGAACACAATGTTTTCATTGAGGAAAAAATTACTAAAAAGGTATCTGTGACTGATAAAGACATCCTGAGAAAGCCTGACATTATATCCAGTCAACTGTAGAAACAGTAGTAGCGATTGTTGATAACCTGAAACAGAAGGTTAGTAAGTCAGTGGATTTTTGCAGCTTCATTCAAATTAATAGACGTAAGAGGACTAAGTTCGACAGGCTCCGGACATGAAGAGGGGTGAAAGCTGCAGAAACGTCGGCCGAACAGAGGTCTTTACAACGACTGTAAATGGTGGTGGGAGACAAAAAACCAGACAGGTGGAAAAGATATCGACGTTAAATAACACCACTCTAATATTTAGGCTGATTATGGAAACGGGTTGTAAACCACAAATGAGAAGAGAAACAATCCTCAGAAAAACGGATCTCCAATTATATCTCCATATATATATACGGCTGGGGCACTGAAGGGAATACTTTGAGTAATTTAACTGACATATAACCACCATAAAACTTGCCTACCTGAATAGGATGTAGACACCGATTCTCCAACTGTAACTGAGGTTGCGGAAGCTATCTCTAATATAGAAAGAGGCAGGGTAGGAGGGCCTAATACAATGATTCCAGAGGTGTTTAGGGACTTTGGTGATGACCTACTGTCCAGGTTAACTAAGATATTTGGCAATGTTTGGGGATCATAGGTAGTCCCGCTGGACTGGTGTAAATCACTGATTATTTCAGTTGATACGGAGACAAATCTTCCTGTGATAATCATAGGCGGCTAGCTTGACTAACATAGTACCTAAAATCCTAGGCTCGATAATCATGCGTCGACTGCGTGGTGTTCTAGAGAAACAAACCCGGGAAAACCAGTCTTGTTTTAGGCCAGGAAGAGTGTGCTGACCATATCCTTACGATTCGAACACATGCTTAATTACAAGCGTCCAATAATTGCCATGTTTCTTGACCTGAAGGTGGCATCTGACTGCGTCAACCGAGAGGTGATGTGGCAATGTCTGACTGTGAGTGAATTGTGGAGGAACTATAGAGCACTAATCAAGGCACTCAGCTAAACTCATGCAGCCGTGTAGCAACTTATGCAGAGTTGTAATCTGAATTTTTAACAACTGATTGTATCCGTCAGGAATATACCGATGAGACTTAGGTGAAGGCTGTGACAAAATACAGAGCCTTCAGAACACCTTAAGCAGAAATTTTACTATGTTTGGCATGTGATTCACCCCTGTCAAATTTAAGATGCTGCAAGATTGGTATATACTGAATCCTAGTTCAAAGATAGGGAAGAGGAAGCTGAGTATTTGTCACTTCACTTATTTGGGAGGTCACATCAGCACTAATAGACTGATTGCTTTCGAAATCTCAGCACGGATACAAAAGGCTCATGTAGCATTCGGTGACTTACGTGATCTCTGATGTAGATATGACATCCGGCTATCGATCAAAGGATGTCTACTGCACAGCAGTTCGGCCTATCCTGTGAGACATGGACATTGAAGGTGGGATATATGAAAAGGTTAGCTGTCTTTGAGCATAGATGTCTGCCTTCTTTCTCTCGTGTTGTGGAACAGTATGGTGAGCAACACGGAAGTCAGGCATAGAATGTTAGGTAAGGAAGGAACATCAATCAATGAGGTTGTGAAGGCAAATCGATTGAGATGACTAGAACACATGTTAGGCATTCCAAGACACCGTCTTTGTCACCCAGCGATGTTACCTGACTCAGGATTAGGGTAGAAAAGAGAAAGGAGCGGTCAAATCAAAACCTGACACTAATCCATGAAGTCTTCGACTGTTAGTTTGAGTCAGTAAGGTATGTGTAAACTTCCTGACTAGAGTTCTTGAGAAGCTAACAGCCAATGGCTTGAGACTATCGATGATATGTCTCAAAACAGTTGCCAATGGAGCAGACTCACTCACTTAGTAATCTTTTAGATCCATTAAATGTTTATGATTGTTTCTTCCACACATTTACCTTCATTTGAGTATTTTTTTTAAATCTACCTTTGTGTGCCGTATAGTGTGACAAATTGAACTGTTGCACTTCTGTACTAAGTTTTACTTTGGAATTTCATTAATAATCTTTTTAAACCAAGACAATAAGCAACTGGGAACAAAAGAATGAAAATACATCCGGTTTCATAAATTTATCTAGCGCCTAAGTCACTCACTATTTTTTAATAACATTGGCTGTTATCTAGCATGTAACTTCGCCTTTTAGTGCTTTAATTTTTTCTATCTTTAGTGACGAATAGAAATTCTAGTGTTTGTCATAAAATATTTGAAGTGCCCAACAGTGTCCACCAATTTAGGTGTGGGGATAGGGACTCGCCGATGATGGAAACCGCTGGATTTAGTCCCAATGGTTGAATGGTCAACGGTTTGGGTCAAATATACTTATTGCTGAAGAGTCACAAGCTAATTGCTTCATGAAAGTGTTTTTGCAATTATCTTAGTTATCTTCCTCGACAATATCGCCACTAAACACCAAATCTGATGGTAAGTTTTCCAGAATAAATTCAAACTGCCTGTTTTCATGACAAATTACTGTGCGAAGCATTTAGATATTCTATTTCTTATTGGGCTAAAAATCATCTCGACGCATTACTGATGCTACTCAGACTTACCAGTATTAGCACAATTTTATGAGTCACTGCCGCCTCTGCAGTTTTTAAAAAGATTATAAACCTATAAATTTAATTCAGAATGAATATTGATGTAGTGGTGCATTATTTCGCAAGGTTCTTTTAAAGATTTTAATTGTTGTGAAACTTCAAAAATGCCACATTCCCGTGTACAGAAAAAGGAAGAAATGATTAGTTGAATTTCAAATGCAGGATTCAGATAAAACGGTGATCCGCTTACTATCTGTAGAGTAAGTGATAAGGACATTAGAAGTGTCTTGTTGAAACAGATGACTGTCTCATTAAGGCACTCTTATCTATAAAAAATATGGCTGTCAAATCACAAGCGTAAAACACCGAAAGATAAAATTACTGAAGTATTTTTGCCCGAATCAGCCTAATCAGTGGGTTTCCTCTCTGAACCAAAACAATTTAATTCACATACTTTGGTTCTGTTTAGGTTGCTAGTTTCAAACATAGCTAAATTATGAATCAAAAGGTATGGCGAACAGCACATAAAAATAATATCAATAATTGAATTGCAAATATATTAGGATACGGCAAAGTTAAACCGAATAAGTCAAAAATAAGCAGTTAACGGTTATAATGGGCTCACTTCTGGGAGTGGTAAGAATACTTGTATAATGGGCGAATCCTGGTTAAATAATAGTACAAATGAGAATACATTACTTAGAAATGGTTAAAATGAGAAACTAGCCATTAAATAACGGAAAATAGTCGTCCAGTGATGAAAAGGTATCCGTTAATGGTCAAAATATTCAAAACTACTTCATGTAATCGGAATATGTCTACTTTTCTGACTACTAGCCATGCCCAGCATTAATTTATTTTTTATCATTTTCGTCCCATTCAAAAATAATAAAAGTCAAGTTTTGTCAAAATCTAACTCTCAAAATGCAATCAGATACATACCTCATCAACTTCAAAAGCCCCACTTAAACACTTTCGTCAAGTCAAGTTAAGGGGAAAATCGATACAGTCAAAAGGTTAGCGAAGCGCAACCTTTGAAATCCCGGCTGTACAGCACGCTTACGATGGATAGAAAGCTTGACAGGCTGGGCTTATCCGTAACGTTGGTTGAAATTTCGCTTAGTGAATTTTTTGTGAATAAATTTTAATAAAATTGTGTTGTACGTCTTGCGAATTAACGGGAACCCTCATTTTCTGATGTCATTTTGGTGTCTACATCACGTGATCTAACTGCGGCACTCTCTTATCATATTGGCTGCAGTGGTTACTCTTTCGGGTTAACTGTGTCAAAATAATGCCACAATGAGCAAAAGTCGATAGTTGGAGGGTAATATCATCTACATAAATAGTCTACTTCATATAGGAAGTGCACCTTTCGGCATAGTATCATTCAATGAAGACTTCACGTCTCAGGATATCAATGCGGCCTATTTTCGTGTGGAGAATAGTATTGTCTGATTAATGAATGCTATCGGCACGTGTAAATCACCTGTAAATGCTAACGGAACCTTCTTTAGGAACAGAAGTTTTGATGTAGATGCATGTTTCAACGTATGTGTTTGGACAAGAATTATCGTAGGTCGAAAGGTTATCTCTAAGTGGATTTAATATATATTTGCACTGATTGCTGCAGTGTGGTATGGGTTATTTGAATGAAAATGCTGACAAAATTTTTCCAATAAATCACTTATTTTAAATTAATACCCAATTTCGATATGAATCAAGAACAAAATGCGATGCCATACACAACAAAGTTATATAGAGGAATTGACCTCAAGCTTTATTTTTTCCCAAGAATTTGTAGTCCATCCAAATCATACTTGAGTTTTTTTGTTAATGCGAAGACAATATTTCTATAATGAATGACTAGTTAGCAGACTGTTCCCACAAACTAAAGATAAAAATGACAGCAACCACGTAATTTCACCACCATTGCAATTCCTCCACATAACTCTGTTGTGTACGGCATCGCATCTTGTTCTTGATTTATATCGAAATTGGGTATTAACTTAAGATAAGTGATTTATTTGCATAATTTTGTCGGCATTTTCATCCTAAGTAACACCATAAGTGAATTTAACCCAATGCAGATTTATACTGGTTACTGTCAGGCAGATTTGTTTTACTGAGCTGAGGTTAGCCAAAGCCGCCATTTGTCGCTGCATGGTTGTTCCGAACTTGAAAGTTGATTAACACGTAGAAAGCTATTAGTAAGCTGTTTTAGATCATGGGTGCTGCTTGTATAAGATGCTGTACAGAGACCTGTTATGGTGACATTGGATATTTCAAGGATGCTAATTCATTACTAGCCAAAACCCTGAAGGATGATATATGAGTAAGTGACCTCAATTCTTTCTCTAAATGTAGATCTGGGCAACTTCCACTACAAGGCAAATAGGAGAGAACGGGCGAGCAGCAAAGTACTAGAGAGGAAAGAAAAAGACACGAATGGGACCTTAATGTTTGAACATCTATGTGAGTAAAGAAAAGTATGTGGAGTCGAACATATATGTTTATATACATTGTCCATTGTAATTTAGTAAACACACATATTTATTTCTACTTAGTACTTTTATGCATCTATGCGACTAGTCTATTTATAGTTTATATAGTAATTAGGGTATTTAGGCGCGTTTTTAGGTACTGTAGTAAACTAATAATTGATTCGTTCTAGGAATAAATAGTTTATTAATATAATTAGTAGAGTGTAACAGTCTGTACAGAGAGCATTTGAAACTTATAACCCAAGAACTAGTTCTGACATCTAGAGGTAGTCTATTCCATATTTGAGAATACATCACTGTGAAGTTTTCGCGGAGTGTTGACTTAAAGGCTTGAGTTGTCACCGTGCAAGTTTGGTTACGCAGATAATAAGAGCCTTGCTGTGCGAGTTGTATGTCCCTGTTGCCTGAGAATGATATTTTGTGTAGGACCTTATAGAAGAATATTAGGTGTATAATTAGTCGTCTTGTCCAGAGTGGGTCAAGTTGTAGAATCATGCACCGTGAGATGTAGTCTTTCTTACAATCGTAGCCAAGTAGTTTGGAAGTAAAATATCGTTGTATACTTTCCATCCCTAGCTTGTCACTTGTGCAAGTGCTGCTAATGACAAGTGGACAGTATTCTAGTAGTGGCCTCACACATGTTTTGTGCAGAATTAGCCTGGCTTCATTGTCATGCGAGTTTCTGAGTATGCATCCTAAGGGCACCCTCAACTTTCGAGTCTGTGATGCCACTTGCTCGGAGAATGTTAGGTCACCAGAGTACCTCAAGCCTAAGTCAACGACACTTCGTGGTCTGGTTAGCTAAGCAGATTGAAGCGTTAATTTCATGTCAATTGAGAGTGTGTCGAAGCAGATCCAGCCACATTTATTCAGATTGCGTTGTAGATGAATTGTAGTGCTACTAATACATGCAGGCCTATACAACCTGTTCGATTTGTGTCCCTTTTTAGGAGTTGGAGCAGCCATCGCGAATAATTCAGCTTTCATGGGAAGACAGACGGGAGCTGCATAATACTCTGATTGGCTGATGCCCAAGCCGTATGTGTGATGTCGCCGTGTTGCTGCGCACTTTTATGATGTCATGTTCGCTGAAGTTCTACGGAATCTAATGATACCAACAAAAATGGTAAAAATTTACTGTTCCTACTTGTACGATGCAGTTGCAGCACCCAACAGCTCCACTAGGGAATGCAGACTGGTGCAAATGTACATAAGCTATTACCGATCTCGTTGATTCTGAATGGAACATCACGTTTCAACGGCGCACCTCCATGTTACCTTTGGGCTCTTCGTTTCCCGTTCGGGTCCGAGGCGAGGGTATACATGTCTTGCGATATCATTCGATGACCTCTCCACCGGGAGCAATATCAATCTCGGTCTTGTTTGGAACATTTATTGAGAGATATTTCCTTGGTTGGTTAGTTGCCACGGTTTCTTGTTGCCAATTTTCTCCGGCTATTCGATTCTCAGTATGGAAGCAAGGCAGTTGTTTATAAAAGTCTGTATCATTCTGGAAATGCTTTCCGCGCCAAGTTTCTGGTTCAAAAAATAATAATGACAACTTTCTTTATTTCGATACAGCTTTTGTGATACATTCTGAGTTTCTCAGCATTTGGTATTATACTTCATCTGACTTGCTTGACAGCAACGCAGACAAATAGAATATATTGCAGGGTATAGTTAACTGAAATTGGTAGTGGCAGCCAACAAAGCCAAAAATGCACAAAAGGTGTGGAATGACGGAAGAGTTAATAACTAAAAACTACGAGATAATAGAAATTGTGCCACTATATAATACGAATAGGAAAGAATAAGACAGTCAATTATTTTGCAAATAACATAGTAAGACAGGTTTCTCGCTTAATATTGTCTCTATCATGTAGAACGTGGTATCGTTGGGTTTCTCAAATCGGTTGCACGAGCATATAACCTTCTGTTGTGTTATCTAGCCCCACCTAATGAGGTGCAAGGGGGGAAATGTGAATAAGTACAGCTTTGAACCACAAGTTTAGATATCTGTTGATTACATTAGTTATGAATTGAATTAGTGGCACAAGACTTGCCCTACTGACAATCATTAATGCCCAGAGCAATATGATAAGTCGTGGTTTCACCGCTGATATGATTTAATATTTTCCCACGTTATGGATGAGTTACTATAACAGTGTTTTCTTATGACTTTGAAGAGTAGAAGTAAGTTGCACTTCACTATCCTTAACCACAGAGGTTCTAAATTCAGACGTATACACCTGTCAACATATTCTACTTGTTGGTCAAAGCCTATTATGCGTTTCGTTAGTAATCTCTGAACACTCGATTTTGTTCGGTCTGCAGACCCTGGCTTACTAAATAGGACAGCACAATATTCAAGTTTGAGGCGGATACATGTTCCATATATAGCTAATCTTGCTTCTTGGATGTAGAAGTTACACAGTACAAAGCCAATAAGTCGTTTACAGTCGGATACAACCTTATTTGCATGATCTGAAAAGGTTAAATCTGAGTATGTTATCCCGAGATCTGTGACAGTGTTCAGTTTCGAGAGGAGCTTACCGTACATAAATAGACACATTCTCGGTTTCCAGCGTCCAAGGTGGGCTATGCCGCACTTGTCTGGGTTGAAAGCAAGTTGCCACTTTTCGCTCCAATCGCCTAGATTTTTTATGTCATGTTGGGTTTTGCTTTCGAAGCTTATATCATCGTACCCGTAATCATATACTATCTTGAGATCATCTGCAAAGAGGTATGGCTTGCTATACTTGATCACAGAGACTATGTCATTTATAAATAAGAGGAATAGAATAGGGACAAGAACGTTACCCTGTATTACACCACTAGTTATCGGCTTTGATGAAGACAGCTGGTGGTTGATTTTCACTAACTGCTCTCTTTCTGTGAGAAAAGAATTTATCCAAGTGAGAAACTTTCCAGTTATTCCGTAGGATTATAGGTTTGTTAGGAGTTTGCTTTGTGGGGCTTTATCGAAGGCTTTGCTAAAGTCGAGAAATAATGTTATTACCGAACGCCCATTATCAATGCATTCTGTAGTGTAGTCAAAATAATCTAAGTGGCAAGTAATGCACAACCTTCTACTTAAGAAACCGTATTGGGATGGGGAAAGTAGGTCATTTGACAGCAAGTACTGAACGATTTGAGTCCTTCCTATCTTTTCCATTACACGTGAAACTACAGATGTGATGTCGATGGGGTGGTAGTTAATGATATCAGCTGTAGGCCCGTATTTATGGACAGGTACAATATAAGACTTATTCCAGCAGGTAGGGTATGTCCCATCGCTCAGTGAAATTGAGTATAACTTGAGTAAGAGTGAATTCATGTCATTACCGCCGCTTTTGAGCAGAATGAAAGATACACCGCCCGGAACAATAGTGTTACTAAGCTTAAGATTTGCGACAGCTTTATCGATCTTGTGTGTGGTGGAAAGTATATCACTTAAAAGTTCGTCTGTTTTACGTGGGAAATCCGTGACCTCATCGTTCTCTAGGGTGTATAATCTGGCGAAGTGCCTGCTAAACAGTTCACATATTACCTCAGTATT